TATATATATATAACCTATATATATCTAAAAATAAAAATGCGGAACTTATTTGTATCTTCATATAAGTTTATGGAGGGTACAAGTGTATGTACATCTTGGACTCAAAAGTTTTTTCCCCTTATCCGGAAATCCCTTGTCGTTGTCGAGAGAACACGAGGAACAAAGATCCCAATTGACAGCCCTATATGTACATCTTGGACGCAAATTTTTTTCCCCTTATCCGGAAATCCCTTGTCGTTGTCTCATCACCCCCTTTCTCTTCTTCTAGATCTTGTGGCTGGAATTAGGTTCCATGGCCACCACTAAGCTCTCAGCTGCAACACCGCAACCAACTTTAAGAGAGTCTGAAAGAACAACGGGCAATCAACCTAGTGAAAGCGCAGCCAAGGCCTCTTCCCCTGATTCATCGAACAGTTTGCCGGCGCGATGGTCCTGCATGGCGGACGCATCGCTGCTTACGCTGTTGCTCCATCTTCGAATGTTACGTTTGCTGCTTACGCTGTTGCTCCATCTTCGAATGTTACGAGCACGAGAAAAAGTTTCCTTGGCCTATTCCTTCCCAATACCAGCAATTCTTCCACCACCTCTCGCCGCCTTTCTCTAACAGTGCCAATAAGCAAATTAAGCGGCGGAGATGGCGGAGAGAAGGGAAGAAGAGGAGGTAAAGGTGTTGCAAAGAAGCAGAAGAAGGAGGCTAAAAAAGAAGACGTGCGGTCGCCGAGCGAAGCAGTCGATCTAGTTGAGGAGGGTTTGGGCAACAAGCAGGTGTCGCTCAGTCTGGATGACATGAATCCGGTGGGTTTGGGGCGGAGGTCGCGACAGATATTCGATGAGATGTGGAAAAAGTTCTCAGGCCTGGGTCAACTCTCCACAAACTCCGCTGACGAGGGTCTGCTCGACAGCGTGTTGATCCGCGGGCCGATGTGTGAGTTCACTATTCCGGAAGCGCAGGACACCACCGTGCTGGTGGTCGGAGCCACGAGCAGAATCGGAAGGATTCTTGTGCGAAAGCTGATGCTTAGAGGCTATAAAGTTAAGGTAAATTACTATCTAGTTTGACTAGGCAATGCCTTCACTCCTTGTTCCTTTCTTTGTTATTTTCAGCCCTATTTGATAATGGATTAAAGGAATTTCTTCGGATTAATGCCTTCTCGAGTGAAGAGGATGCATTTTCGAGACTTAGGAAGATTCGATAATGGTATAAAACTAAATTGGCATATAATGAAATATTTTTCTTTTTAGATGTAAGTATCAAAGTCATTATTTCAATTCATCAAGTGTTGAACTATAACTGATATGAATCATCTGATAGAAATTTAATTCTTTCAGCTCCTTCATAAAGCATAAGATGATAATTTATAGACGAAAAGATATGGGCCATTTGTAATTAGTTTATTAGTGGGTAAATAATGTGCAATAGAACTATATATTTCTTGTAAATTATTGTGATAATTATCTTAATTATGAGTAGATTATTAAAATGTTATCTTGTTACAAATCTCAAGCATTCATGTTACTACTAAAATTAAGACCATCCAACTTGTCTATTAAAAAGAGTGAATGTTATCGCTTCAACTTAAATGGTTGAATTTGATCCAAAATTTAAAAATATGCAGCAAATTTTATAAAATTCATCAAATCAAAATTTAAAAAATTATGGAAATCTCCTAAGTAAACTTGTATAAATGAAAAAACAATTGAGAAGCAAATGGTTGTGGATGCATGTCAATTGTCACATCTGGTGTTCTAGAAAGAGTATTGAGTTGAGAGAGTTGTTGCAACCGTAGTTATTAAAAAGAGAAAACAGATGGGTTATGGCTTGGTTAAACAATTTGGACATTAAAGAAGAGAAGAGTAGAAAGGTTTTACATATTATGAATGAAAAAGAATAGATAATTAACAAAGAGAGATTAAAAAGAATATATAAGTATTTGTAAAGAAAAAAATAAAAATATCAAAATTGTACCCTAACTCTTTGTAGAGGGCATTTTAAACATAGTCCATAAATAGTGCCATTTCAGTCCCCAAACACTTTTAATATCAAATGAACTAATCTTCATGGAGAATTATTTTAGCTCTTATTGAAAGAGTTTGGGAACTAGTTTGTTAATTTTATAGACTCTGGGACTAAAATGGACCCGTGTAAATATTCATGGGACTATTTTGACCTTTTACTCAGTAAATAATAGTAACAATAAGAGTCCATACCGTGGGTTTGCTCCACTGTAGGCACAATCCTTTCGCCAACTTCACAGATCCTCCAAAGAAATTTTCTCATAATTTTGATTTTGCCATATATCTTGCATCTCAAACTTTTCAATCTAAGCCCAACAATATTCATGTCACAGATTCGAACAAACTTATTACACACTAAATGCAATGCCTGTAATATGTTTGTTTGCAATTCTTTGTAGTGGGTGACATGGGATTGAATCGCAACAAGCACATATTGTTGCGGATAATATATTTTGCCAAACTTGTCGTGGATCAATATCAATCACGTTTTATACCATATTTTTCACCGCCAAAAGTAAAACTTGGTCTATCCTGCTCAAGTATGGTTTGACAATTAGGGAAGCCATGTTTTGGAACTATGGTTATGTCACAATATATGGATGGAGTTTGTAGTCTATATCATGCATTTTATTCCAAAGGTAACATAAGCTATAGCCATAATATTTAAAGCCATTGAGAATAGTGGGCTACTACGTCTGCATACTTGAATGTCATAAGCCAATCGTGTGTGAGACCACTCTAATGGTTCCATATGCCACACTTTTATTAGTATTCATGTTTGATGTATGGAGTGCCGACGTGATTTTTGATAGATATATTAGTTTGGTTTCTCAGGTTGACAACAACAAGCCTTTATCCCACAAAGTGTGGTCGGCTACACATTTCATTTAAATCTACTAGATTAAGATTATTTTTTTAATAATATGCCCAAGTCTTTATAGGTCTAACTTACCTTTCTTAACATAAGTCGAATCTAAAACATCAACTCTTCTTTTAATGTCTCTAATCTTGTTCGCCACTGGATCTGCACCAACCCTATCACAAATATATTCATTACGCATTTTGTCTCTAAGTGTCAAGCCACTCATCCACCTAAGCATTCTCATCTCAGCAACACTTAACTTTATGTTATGCATTTCTTCTCTTTTAAAGGCCAACATTCTACTCTGTAGAGCATGACAGGTCTCACCACCATCTTATAAAATTTTCCTTTCAATATAAGCGGTTCTTTTCTGTCGCACAATAGGCCTGATGCATTTCTTCACTTCAATCAACCAATTTGAATTCTACTAATAACATCCCCATCTATATATATTACCATCACTTTGAAAAATAGAACCAAGATATCTAAAACGTTCACACTTTTTAACGATTTGGTCACTCATAGTTACAACCCTGTCACTAGAGTAACTACTACTAAAATTACAATCCATATATTTAGTTTTAGATCTACTCAAACGAAGGCCTTTAGACTCCAATGTTAACCTCCATAATTTAAGTTTTTCCTGAGCTCTTTCTCTAGTCTTATCCACAAGGATATTATCATCGAAAAACATACACCAAGTTACATCCTCCTGTAAATGTCTGGTAAGAGCATCCATCACTAAAAAAAATAATATGGGCTTATAGCTGATCCCTCTTGTAATCCTACTGAAATGGGAAAATACTTGGTTATTCTGTTCAAAATAAGTTAGGCTGAGTCAATTAAGGGAAATTAGATCACCAAATGACAGATTAGTGTGTAGGATAGTTTTCATATGCTTGACTTGTTTTGTCATTTATTTCAAATGCTTGAATTTTATATATTATTTATTATTCAGATCACTTCATCTCTGGTTTGGGTTTCTGTAAAATGTTATTTGAATCAGCTAGGGTAAGTGGGTAACCGGGTAGGTGTGGTGATTTTTTTTTTTTTTTTTTTTTTTGGGGAAATTTGAGCAAAATTAATCCCAAACGCATGCATACCGCATGTACAAAATCTTGAATCCTAAATTTTATGGTTGAAAGACAAAACTTTTAACCACCAGATCAACGTGGTTTGTATGTTAGGTGAGGCACATATTGCATGTAATTGAATTTTTTCTTAGATTGGGTTGAATGAAAGTATGTGGTATAATTTGGAAGTTGGATGGTGGTTTTAAGTATATTTAAAATACTGAATTGGAATCTAATGCTTTTAATGAGAAAAAAATTTGTGATTGGATAGTACTTCACCTACATTTGCATAAATTTGAAGGAAAAATTACAGCGGCGAGAGAGGCAATGTGTCATGTTAGTTGTTAAATGAATGCAACTTGATTAAATTATCAACATGCTGAACAGTAACATTAGCACCTTAAACTTCAGAAGCTCTTTATTTATTTATTTTTTTCATTTTGAAAACATTTAATTATATGCTGTTACAAACTATTCAGCTTTTGGCTTCTAATGATTTTGTGCCAATTACTTTTAACTTGTGAGATATCTGATAAGTTGAAGTGACAATCCAGGCTTTGGTAAGGAAAGCTGATTCAGAAGTGATAGATATGCTTCCTAGAGCTGTGAACATTGTGGTCGGTGATGTGGGTGAACCTTTAACTTTGAAGACTGCCATAGAAGGATGCAACAAGATCATCTACTGTGCCACTGCTCGCTCTCTTATTACTGCGGACCTCTATAGAGTGGATTATGGAGGAGTATACAACGTCACGAAGGCATTTCAGGTTTGTTTCTTCTAGACCTCTGTTCTTCTTTTACTATAGCTGTTTTTGTGTAGCCTTTTCCTAACTATTTCAGTCTTTGTACCAATATATGCACATAAAATAAAATAAGGTACTAATTGTGGAGCCTACTATTTAGGATTATAACAATAAATTAGCACAATTGAGAGCTGGAAAAAGCAGTAAGAGCAAACTTTTGCTAGCTAAATTTGAATCTTCTGACTCATTAGAGGGGTGGGAAGTTCGCCAAGGAACTTACTTTCAGGATGTTCTTGCTGCCAAATATGACGGAGGAATGGATGCAAAGTTGGAGTTTACTGAAACGGGAGAAGCTGTGTTTTCAGGTAAATGCGCGCATCTTTCTCTTCATTCAGTTCTCATCTCTCAGAGGAACTTATGATAGTTTTACCTGCTATTTCCTTTGGTTGCCGACAAAAAATGAGTCTTGTGCGCTTTACATGATTTCTTAAAGAGCTATTATATCTAGTATCTTGGCAATTTGTGCAACCTTGGATGATGCAACTATTGATGATTAAAATTTTCCTTTTACTGAAAGCGAAGAAATTTTTAAGAAAGGAAGAAGATCTAATTATTTTCATCACATAATTCAGTATCTAATGCGTAAGTTCTTACATTTGTTGTGTGCTAATATCAAACTATGAATTTTCTCTGAAGCCTAAGTTGTAAAATTTAGGAGCAGTTGTATAGACTGTATTCCTCATTTGCAATAATATAATGTATTCCTCAAGTATTTATGCCTTGCTTTTTATTCATTGTAGGATATGTATTTACAAGAGGTGGATATGTTGAGATTTCCAAGAGACTCTCCTTGCCATTAGGCTCAACCCTTGATAGGTATTATTTGGCATGACCGGTAGATGATGTCCTATTTTTTCTAGTTACTCGCAATATAATGTGGGCTCTTAATTTGTAGATATGATGGTCTGCTTCTCTCTGTTGGTGGAAACGGAAGGTCATATATTGTGATTCTAGAGGCTGGCCCATTGGCTGATACCTCTCAAAGCAAATTTTATTTTGCTAGAATGAGCACAAAAGTGGGCTTCTGCAGGGTAGGTAACGCTTAAGTTATTGTATGCCATTTTATCCATCTGATCTTCTTCCTGGAATCATATCAAGAGTTACTGAACTGTCTTTTGCAGGTTAGAATGCCTTTTTCATCTTTTCGCCCTGTTAAACCGGATGATCCTCCACTAGATCCTTTTCTAGTGCATACTTTAACAATTCGATTTGAACCAAGAAGACAGGTTAATCTGTTATTCAAAATTGTGATGTTTTTGGCTCACCCATCTCTCTTTTAATAATTATGGGAGGCTTTTTTTTATTATTATTATTGATGATATTCTGTCTGTAGAGACCTCCCGAAGGACCTACAGGAATGACACAGGATCCTAGGAGCTTCAAGCTCATCCTGGAGTATGTGAAGGCCTTACCCGTATGTTTGAATAACCTGCCTTGTCACCAGCTACTCTGTCATTTTATCCTCATAGATGAATATAATAAGTATATTTTGTTAACATTCATTAAAGTATGCGTTTTTACAATAAGATGTATTTTCTTATCTTAACACCTATGGATATGTGATTTGTTGTTGCTGAAGACTGGCAGAGAAACTGATTTCATCTTAGTCTCATGTACTGGATCTGGGATTGAATCCAGTAGAAGGGATCAGGTGCTTAAAGCCAAGAAGGTAGTTCATTCGTCGCCAAACTGGATATTTGTATGGTTATGAGTGCGTTTGGGGTGGCGGTGCAATGTGATGCCACTCCGCAGGTTTTTTATGTTTGGTAAAACTGAGTTTGTCTTCTTTTTTAAAAAACTGCAACTAAAAGCTGCATTTTGTTACTGGACCTAGCTAAGTGCGGTGACTACTAAAAAACTGTGGTCTGACTTTTGTTTAAAAAAAAATTATAATAGTCGCCGCAGTTTTTTGAACAGCTTCACAGCTGTTTCTTCAAACAACTATAATTGCTCCAAACAGAACTTAGATCAAAATTCCCTCATTGTCCATTTCCTTTTATTGGTAGGCGGGGGAGGATTCACTGAGAAGATCAGGCCTTGGTTACACGATCATTCGGCCCGGTCCACTGCAGGTGCAATCATGCTCCATAATGATCTTATGTTGATGTCATTTAGTGAATGGAAGTGAATATTCCTTTCCAAAATTAGTGTAAAATAATTTGCTCTAAGTTCGTCTTTTTTTTCAAATTTATATACATTTATAACAGATGTACATCTTTGCATGACGTAATATGCATTAGCAATAACTACTTCATTGTAGCAATTTCAAGCTTAACTCACATAAAAAAAAACAAATATCTTATTTTATAGGGTAGAAAAAAAGTACTGTTTTCTTAAGATCATTTTTAATATTGCTGTTAATTGTAGGATCTGAATGTGGACTTGCCTGGATGAATTTACTATAACATATATATGGAAGACTGATTTTAATATTGCTGTAGGAAGAGCCAGGCGGTCAAAGAGCATTGATATTTGATCAAGGAAACAGGATCTCGCAGGTATGGCCCAGCGAGCATTTCATTTCAAGGTAAAGACACTCGATTACCATACTTTTTATGCAGGGCATTAGCTGCGCAGATGTAGCTGATATATGTGTAAAGGCATTGCATGATCCCACAGCAAGAAATAAGAGCTTTGATGTATGTTGATTATAGTTCATTCTCATCTCTCTCTCTCTCTCTCTCTCTCTAACTTGATTGAACACAGGTGTGCTATGAATATGTTGGAGAGCAGGGCAACGAGCTTTATGAGTTGGTAATGAATCATGTTTCCAAATTATAGTGGATTGAATCAGTTTGTGCTTCTGCAAAGTATGTAATTGGATCACCCATTTGTGCAGGTGGCGCATTTGCCTGACAAAGCAAACAACTATCTCACACCAGCTCTTGCGGTTCTGGAGAAGAACACCTGACGGGGGAAGAAATTTATTTAGTGAGATTTGTGATAGATATCATTAATTACGTTTTCAAAGTGTATAGGCCTGGATTTTGTTCTACATTCACCAACTCCCGTTTTAGCTTGCTTTATAGCGGCGATGATGAAAATTTATTGGAGAATTTTAATGGCGGTATGTATGTAAGGTATTATGATAAATGCTAGTGATTCATCTTTGGATATACCAACTCCCGTTTTAGCTTGCTTTATAACGGCGATGATGAAAATTTATTGTAGAATTTTAATGGCGGTATGTATGTAATGTATTATGATAAATGCTAGTGATTCATCTTTGGATATGTATGAACATTTTTGATATTGTAAGTGAATTTATTGACATGTAAATGCATTATTAATTATTTTTATACCGTGAATTATCATATGGTGGTGTTGATATATTTGGGCATAGAACGTGAGCATTATAAGAACTTGTTGCATTTGTCTCTTGCCTCGTCAATGAAAGAAGTGCCGTCTAAGTTCCAACAACTCTTGATGATGAGAAGATGACACACTACACCAAATCAGCGATCCTTTTTTAATTTTTTAAGTCGTACTTCTCTTTGGACAAAAAAAAAAAAAAAAAAGAAAAGAAGGTTGTTCTCTTAACTTTTTTCCTTGTTATATAGGCTTAATAAGGAGAAAAATAAAATGGGAGCCTTAATTGGTGAGACAATTTTTATTTATATATTTCATTTATCTTAAAAATTTTTTTTTTTTTTTTTTTTTTTTTTTTTTTGTTGAAAATAATGGCATAAATATCTTACCAATCACTTCGATCCGCTAATCCAAGAGCTAGTTTGAAAGAATTTTATCGCAGTAGTTTTGACTTTTTGCTGATTTAAAAAAATATATATTATAAGCATATTTGATTTGAGATAAAGTAAGAAAAATGCTTTTAAACACTGCAAAAATTGAGTAAACAAACGCATCATATCATCACATAATAATCTACACAAAGCATAGATTTACTTCAATTTATCATTAATTGCATGTAATTGTCTATACATGCTTAAAAATCATACTTTTGTTCATATTCAGTATACATTAACACAAGGGGAAAAAAAAGGAAAATCTTATTTCTTTTCTTGGAATAATCTTATTGCTTCTTCTCAGCCTTCTTTATATATTTCCTGTTTTGTGATGGCGGAGTAATGAAAGGCAACCTTCTTCGGCTTCCTCTCTATTCAAATTGAACAACTTTAGAAAGAGTGGAAGAGAGAGAGAGAGAGAGCAGCGAAATGATCAGCGTGAAGGCGGAGGTGGAGCCGGAGATGGAGCGGCTTCCGGTGTGGAGACGGAGATGGAGCGGCTTCCGGTGGACCTCCTCGCCCACATCTTCTCCCTCATCTCATCCTTCACAGATTTGGGGCAGTAAGTATTGCACAAGGGAAAATAAAAATCCCTCTTCTACTTGTTTGACTTCAAGAGAAATTTTCTCTGAGGGTTGGGTTTATCGTGCAGTGCAAGCGGGGTTTGCCGGAAATGGAAGGCGGGTGTGGAGCAGTCGTTTGCGAGGAAGGAGAGGCTCAGCTTCGCCGGCTGCAAGGTAGACGATAGCTCCGCCGCCCGGCTCGTCCAAGCTTCTTATAACCTCAGGGAGCTCGACATGTACTTCTTCTTCCTCCTCCTTTATTACACTGCTCCAGAGATAATAATATGATAGAACCTAAACAATAAATCATGCAACATAAACATTTGATCAGCCCAACCAATGAAAACTCTTCCAGTAAAAGTGGAGTTCAAATAATCTATTATGGGTCAATTCGCCATTCTTACACACACACCGCACAATTCTTATAAATTTGCATTACTGACCCTGGTTTTGGAATCAATTTAGTGACTTTATTCTTGTATCTGTGTTTTGAAGCTCTCGGAGTTGCTGGGGTTGCCAGATAACTGATGAAGGACTGTACATGATATCTTCTGCTAAGTGTATCAACAATTTGATGTCCATTTCTCTGTGGGGCATGGTCGGAATCACTGATAATGGTGTTGTTCAGTTGGTAATATAAGATTTTCTGGTTTTTCATATTGTTTACTTCGGTAGATTTATAAAGCTTTATCCACTAAAAATTATTGCAACAATTTAAACAGTAAGAATTAATGCGAGGAAATTGAACTTCAAAAATAACCAAAATAGCTTCTGCAATGTAGTGCTAAGGATGCAACATCCTGGATGGTTGCATTAATCCCTTGCTAAACCCTACATTTGTGGGGGCTTTATGCACCAGCTCTCCCATTCTATTCCTTTTGTTTGTAGTTTTTCTATAATAAGATGCCAGGCAATCAGGAATTGAAATTATAGATGATACTTGTTGATTTTGATCAATATGGTTTCATGCAGTAGGCTATCTTAATTTGTAGAATTTGCGAAAATGCCTATTATTACATTTCTGCATTGTGCTTATTTGGGTTCATTACAGGTCTCAAAGGCTACATCATTGCAGCATCTGAACATTGGTGGCACATTTATAACAGATGAATCTTTATTTGCAATAGCCAATAGCTGCCCTCACTTGAAGGTAAATGACTTATAGCTTTCCTTATTCATGCTATATATCCTCAAGATGATTTTATACTCTATAAAGTATATTCTACAATTAATTTTAAGAGGAGTTTTGGTCATATGAATTGAAAGCAGTTATGGAGGATGTAGTTTTTTAATTTGCAACTATAGTCAATATGGGCTCCCATTTAGAGTTAACACAACCTATATTGTGATCCATGAAGTTTTTCATTTGATTGAGTACTTGCTGGAAGTTATCCACAAAATTAGGTGATTTAACACAGATGTACTTGAAATCTGATTAGCAGATAATTAGGGTTTCATTATTGAGTTTTCAGTTTAAAATTAATTATTAATTCCCACCAGATTCCTCCCCCACCCTTATTAACACCCTGCTAACACATTTGAGTATGGTTAGCTGCTGTATTTGACCATCCCCTTATTATTTTGGGGTTCATTTACATACACACCATGCAATTCTAATGTATTTACATATCTAATATCTACACATTCATCTTTACATTCATAACGCTCAAATCATTAACATCATATTAAGAATACCACCATCACTATCTTTTAAAAAGTGAAATATAGCTTTACATGCATAGGTTTATGACATCAAGGTGTTTTAAGTGTAAAATTAAACTTTGGGTGTTTGATATGCAAATACATAAGAAATGTGTAGTATGTATTCATCAAATCTATCTTTAACTACCAACTGACAATTTATTGGCACTGTCAATATGAACTGTGCAGTCAATTGTACTATGGAGTTGCCGCCATGTTACCGAGAACGGCCTCTTTGCGCTTGTATACAAATGCTGCAAACTCGAGTCAATCAATGTATGGGGGATGAGGGTACCGGTCGACTGCTTTGTTGGCCTCCTTTCCATCAGCCCTGCTCTGCAGATTAAACCTTTATACCTGCCTGCTGCTGATGCACTACCAGTATCCTAAGCTTCTCTAAGCTTTAATATCATATGTATGTTGTATTGTCAATGTTAGTTTGAATTCATTTGGATGTTGCATGTTTGTAAATAAATGTTTTTATTGATTGGATGTTGAATATTTGTATATATATGTTTTTGTTGATTGGGATCACTGCTATTATTCCTAGGAAGATTTACTTACACACCACTTAATTCTTTTGTATTTATATATCTATAACACCTAAGCTCTAAATTTTACATATATTTCACCTTACCTATACATTAAAATGTGTATTTCACTTTTTTAAAGTAAAAGGTGATATCTTTGATGTGACATTAAAGATTTGGGTGGTATAAATATAAAAAAAAAAACTAAAATTTATCCATTAGATATGTAAATACCTAAGAATTAAGTGGGGTATGTATGTAAATGCCCATCATTCTTATTTGTGCCAATAGATTGGTCATCATCATCAGGCAACATTTTGTTCACACTGCGCATGTAAAACAAATGTCAACTTGAAATCTGGCCTGAAGGTCAATTTTTCTGAAATTTATTAATTTTGTGGACTATTTTTTATGACCCCGGACAACATTAAAATAATTTTAGATTGCAACAAAAAAATTCCGTTATTGAGGCTGATAAGTTACGATTGAACCATGTTATGTCATTATTTTATAGATGGTTTTTGAACAATTATGAAGCCAACTTTTGATGTGCTCAAGTAATCCTGTTTTAATTAGCATTTCTCTACGCTAAGGAATTGGCGACCGTTTTACTATTGCTATTATTTGAGTTCTCATAAGTTTTTGAAGGGTCCTGTGATTCTAAAGCTCTGGTTTTATAAAAATGTTTTTTCTTTTTTTTTTTTTCAAATGAGCTGCTTATTTAAATATCGATAATCATATTATGAATATTAATTTAAACGAATCAAATTTGAATACTATCATAAAAGAAAAAGCTTGAGTCAAAATCAAGACAAGCTCAAACATAATTTTGGTAAATAAGTTCAAGCTTGACAAACCTCCTGCTCAGCTTGACTCAGTTTGTAAGCAGCACCATGCATAGGTCTGTTAGTCTTCTTTAAAAAACACTGATAGTTCAAACCCCTCTCAAACATATACACATGAGTTAAAAGAATATAACAATTAAATCTATATACAGAATGTAAATGTGCACTAGGTGACAAGATATATAAAAAGCAAATAACAATACAAATGTGTTTTAAGGGTTTAACTACAAAGTTACCCTAAAACATATTAGCAAATACACACTTGTGATGTCACATTTGTAAACTATGGTGTATGTTAAATAATAAAGCAATTTAGTGAGTGAATTCTAACCTCAAATCTAAATGAGTTACTCAACTACTAAAGTAATTAATTCACAACAACAAAAAACAGCACAAGTATCTAAAATATAGATCCATGTCTTATGTGAGAGTAATTAGCTTTTAACAAGAATAATTAACTTTAAGCATTATATAAATTATACGCTGAAACAAATGACAAGAATACGAATTCCAACTTTCAACAAAATAACATTCAAGAATTCAGGAGTAAAATAATTTTTGCAACCAAAACAAATATAAATTACAAAAATTTAGAAAATAAGAATTTAGATTTGACATCCATGCCTAATAACCTCTCGGCACATATCATGATTCCAATACACCAGTTTGAAAATCACAAATCAAAATTCCTTTACTCCTCGAAAAGATAGAGAAACATTTATAGCCAATATACATCTTCTCCAAACAAATGCAACCCAATAGATTACCCCAATGATGCGGTATCTATAGACATAGTAAATCTTGAAATAATCCATGAAAGCTATAAAAATTCCGAAAAAACTCCCCCAAAATGACTCTTAAAACACCATCTAACGGCTTTTCAAATCAGTTGTTATTATGGTATAATTAACATAAATAAGCATATGAAACAAATTTATTCAATATAATGAAACATATGGAATCAAATAAACTTCTTAACACATAAAAATGATCAACATCAGGATGATGACCTACTGAGGCATCAACTCGCCTAAACAATAACAATTAAAATAATTATTCCATACAAATAAATATGAAATCTAAGTCTGACATAAGCAGGCAGATCTTCAACTTAGCCCGAGCAATTCCATCTGCAACTTGATTCACATGGGCATCAAATATCATAGAATACGCATGTCTTTGTTATTCATTAATTGACAATTTATTAAGTGCAACTAGTAAATTTTGTCAGAATTTGAATAAAATTAAAAGAAAACTTTAGCACACAATCTATAGTTAAAATCACCACACTAAACAATAAACTGTAACATCCAACCTATCAAACACCAAAAAAATATTAAACTAGACAATAAAATGCAGAATACAAGTAGTAAAACAGATCACAATGCATATGAGAGTTATTCCATACCAAAATTTATTTATTCCCTTTAGAAAAAAATATTCACTATTCTGCTTAAAGCTTACAACAAAAAATGAAGCTTTGAGCTGAAAAAATAATAAACAGAGATAAAAAATAAATTAGCATCCTACAATTATAATTCATGCCTGAGCATCTCCAGAACCAAGCTTCCTTGCAACCAGTGAAGGTCTAATTTTCTTCTTTGTTGCAGTTCTCAAGAATTTGTATATTGTCAGAAACACTGAGCAATTTTAATGATTTAATTCATTTTTAATAGCCATGAGATCTCATAAGGTGATTCTACCGCATGCTGCTACTTAGCTCTACTCCTATTTAGCTCTACTCACAGGAGAACTTTTGCAGGGGGTCTTTTTAGTCTTAGAATCTATAAAAGTATTAATTTGATCCTGGGACCTTTTTAATATGGGCTGAAATAATCCTCATAGAGGACTTTTTTAACCCCAATTTAAAGAGTCCGTGTCTAATTTATAGAATTTGAGACTAGAATGACCTCATGTAAATATTCACAGGAGTCTTATGATATCCTTGAGGGATTTCATCTGATTGCTCAAGAGTACAATTTAAGCAAGTAAGGGGAAGAATTTAAGAATTTCCGGAGAGACTGTCGCCTTGTAATATGTGTGAACTACAATTCTACAAAAACTCAATCACCACCTAAACATATTATTGACTATCTTAAACAAATTATGACTATTGAAGTTGATAAATCTATTAAAGAATTTGATAACTTGACACTTGATGAATTACCTAAAAAGAATATCGCTATAGATCAATTTGACATTAATTTCCTTTTTAGTTCGTTTTTTAAATTTACAAATCTATAAAAAGAAACTCAGGAAAAAAAATTTTGTGTCAACAAATCAAAAGACTTATTCTTAATGATTGCTTTAAAAAAATGTGAAATCCAAATACTCATTTATCTTATCGAAATGAAAAGCATACAATCCATCATGACTAACATTTAAATCATTTAGGTAGTTTTCTTTAAAAGGTTATCCGTCCATATGACAGAAAAATATTATCTGTACAATTGGTTTATTTTAAAAAGAGAAGTTTATGAAACAACCTAGTAAATATAAATTTTAACTTTCATTCATCATCTAGTCCTTTAATGATTAACTACAGCGTAGTCATTACTGAGACTATTAGCATTTTTTTAGCTATATCATTACATATGTGACACCATATTATATCATCTATTTCTCATTTATATGATCTGCATGAAAGTATTTAGTAAGTCAATTAGCATAAGAAAAATGATAAACAATAACAAAATTAACAGGTGCAACAAGTAGGGCATTGCAAATAGTATTCGTTGGCATGAAGAAATTGAAGGAGAGTACTAATAAAACCAAGCTAGCACACATATAACAATATAGTGGTGCATTTGCATACATAGCACATAATTCTTATGTATTTACATATGTCAAATCCAACTGAACTTTCATATTTACACACATAGCACTCAAATCTTTAATATCAAATAAAAGATAGCCCTGCTACCACTTTTTAAAAGTGAAATAGACCATGTCATGCAAAGATTTAAAGCACCAAAGTGCTATGTGTGTAAATATGAAATTTTTGGTGTGAGATTTATAAATACATAAGAATTGTGGGCTAGGTATGCAAATTTTCCAACAATATATTATCACTTATTACAGCAGACTTCAAAGTAAAAAATTTACAAAGCTCATTTAAATGACAAACAATTCCACCAAATGAAGGGGTCAAACTAATAACTTCTCCCTATTTCTCCCACAACACCATATATATTGTTGGTGGAGGTGGGTTACTGCAGCAGCAAACTGTTTAATTCATGAATATGTTTTATATCTTCTTATACATATTAATCAGCTTTGTAAGACACCTTAGAACTTAAGAGCGAAAACTTGAGCATGGTCCATGCGATTGAAATGATAGTAAAAACAACACAGCCAATTGAAAACATGCAACCTCTTCAAATATGTTAGATCTACATAGTTACCGTTGAGAGTAAATAAAACAAACTATAGTTTTCTGAGGTAAAAAGAAATCCTCAATTCAAATCGTGTTACTTCAGCCGGAAAGCATACAAACAACCAATTTCAATGAAGCCAAGAGAATTTAGAATTAGAGAAGAGTAGAATCAAGCAATCACCAGTTGTACTGAAGCACAAATTTACAGTGTCCCGCATTCCCTTGCTTTCACCGCCAGAGTACTCCTAATCAAGATAGCCTTCTTGTCAGAAGAATGCTTCTCCTCATTTCTATACTCCTCAGAACTCAACAAGTACTCTTCGCCAACATCCGCCAGGGCCGAATCGTCGTCCTTCATCAACAAAATATTATGAAGTATAGAACAAGTTCCAATAAATGCTGCAGACACCTTAGTACTCTCCTCCTCCAGCCGGCTCAAAACTCTCCAATTATGGAGGCTGTAGATTGCTCTCCTCGCCGGCCAGCACATCACACGAAGTGCCAAATTGAAGTCCTCTTCACAAGACCCCGGCACTGGCTTAGCAAAGGGAACCATCAGCCAAGGATAAAGCTGTTGACTCTCATCTCCAACCAGGTACTGCTCCGGCCCCAAGAGCCGCCCCTCCATGGCATCTTTATACAAGGAGGACTGCTTGAGAACCTCAAAGCCCGACCGTTCACCGTGAAACACCGCAGCAAAGCTTAAGATCCTTGAGGAGACGTCCGCAACGAGAAAGGCAGTGGCAGGGCCGCGGTGAAGACGGAAGCGGGCGGATGCCATGGCGCCACAGCAGCCTGGAAGGCCCGCGAGGGAGGCAAAACCATCGGAGACTGGGGTGAGCAATTCAGGAGAGGAGGGAAATGCTAGCCAGAAGCGGAAGTTGGTGCAGAGAACTCGGCAGAGGTGCCCGGTGCAGAAGCGAGCGGCGGACTCGGAGACGGAGTAGCGGGAGGCAAGGTCAGCATAGTCAGCGCCAGTAGCTAGGCGGGCGAGGGCAAGTGCGAGGCGGGTGGTGGTCGGGAGTCGGAACGGGGAGCCGCTGGGGTCGCGGGAGTCGATGAGGGGATCAAGCAGACTAGCAAGCCACTCAAAGGTGGCGGACCGCATCCCGAAGTGGATTTTGAAGTGATCGGGATTGGGATGAGGAACGAGGGCGCTGCAGGGGGTCGTTTCTTCGATGTGTCGATGATTATTGTCATCTCCTTCTTCCTCTTCTTCTTCCTCTTCTTCTTTCTCCTCTTCATTCACCTCATCCTCTATTTCCGATTCATCCATCTCGCGACGGCGCTTACGGTTGAGCGGAAGGTGGGAGGTGGTTGCGGTTAGGTGGGTGGAAGAGAGGAGATGAAGCATGGTAGTGAGGGTTTGGGAAATAGGAGAGGGGAGTATGAGGTTAGGGTTGGATTGGAAGATTAGGAGGAGGAGGAGCAGCGCTTGAGAGACGAGGGAGGAGACCAGGGCGGCGAGAGGCCGGGTCTCCATGGCTCGCCTCTCTGTGCTTACAATACACCCACTTTGATCCAACTCCTGCTTCAACTGGATCTCTGTTGTTAAATCGGACCGGTCTGACCGGTTCACCCGGTTCAGCCAGAACCAAAATAAAAAATAAAAAAAGGAAGTTTTTTTGTCAATTAATTGTACATGTATAATATGCAAATCAAATGATAAGTAGCCGCAGGAGAATATAAAGATCGGAATCAAGATCATAATTTAATAATACAATTTAATGGCAAATCATCATATCAGAGAGTTTTGATCCTAACTGTTATTTTTGTAGAGTTGTCGGGCCAACACACATAGACATGAGACTCGAGTAACATGCTTACTAGTCTCAAATTATTTTGAGTGTGAATATAATAATACATTTAAAATATTATTTGCATTTTACAAGCTACAATTAATCATAAAATAAATTTCTTTTGCAGTGTTGTGATTGTCTATGATGGAGCTGAACAACAATTGATAGATTGCTTATGTAAAATATAACATAGTTTATTATAAAATAAACCTGAAACGCAACATAATCTCATAAACAAACAAATTAAAGACTACATCACATATGTGCATAATTCATATATATATATATATATATAACTAAACATTCTCATTAATCTTCTCCGGGTGCAAAGGGAAGAGCTCAAGTGTTAGTAGTCTGTCATCACCACCACCATCAAACTCACTAATCTGATTCAGATCTACTCCCCTGCTCCTCCTGCTTCTCTTATCTTTACTCTCCTTCTTCTCTTCAGCTTCCTGCAACAGTAAACAAACTTATCTAATATTATTAATTAGGACATGATTTATAGTGAGGAAATTATGCATATTGATTAATTTATGCCTTGGTGTCGGAGCAAATTGGGGAGGATGGGCTGAGGTGAGCGTTGCGCTTCTGCTTCTGCCTTTCTCTGGCCTTATGGTTCTGGAACCAGTAGAACACATTCTTCCCTTCAATTCTTCCATGGTTCATCAGCTCTGCAGTTATCTTCTCGATCTGTTGCGCGTTCGGAGTTCTCATACCACTTTTGTACAGTGACTCCAGTTTCCTTATCTGCTTTTCTGTTGGGTTCCATCTTGTTCCCGCTCCTCCTCCTCCCTGCTTCCATAACAAACACCAATTACACGCATTTATAGTTTCAGAGAGAGAGAGAGAGAGAGTAGTTAGCTGATGAGAAGATGGAAAAGTAATGTATAATATCATGATATGGAGAATTGGTGCTTGCATTATAATATAGAGAAAGAGGGAGTACAAGATGAGAAGGCGCATGTGGAAGCGGCAGGTGTGTGCATGAAGTTTTGGAGAAACTGAAGCTCTTGAGTTGCTGAGAAGTGGCAGTGGATACTGCTGCGGCTGCGAGCGGCCGGAGACGCTTGAATCCAGGAGTCAAGAAGGAAGAAGAAGAGGAGGAGGAACAAACTGAGGTTTTTTTATTCAAAAAGGCTATTTCCAACTGCTGAAGCTTCATGGGATAGTTACCACCAATTAATTACTGATCAGAAGAAGCCAAAGTGAGTGAGTTCTTGCTTTCTTTAAATAGAAAGTCATGACTAAGTAACGCTTGGTTTTGAAAAGAGATGGTGGTGGGGATTGGGGGGAGGAGAAGCATGCAAGCAAAGTGAAAAAGAGGAGAAGACCAAATGATGAGAAGAGGTTGACATTTTTATCTTTTTTTTTTGAGTTTTTTGTTTTTGTTTCAGTTGAAAAGTATTTGATGTCTTTCATTTTAGGCCGTCAAATCTGCCGGCTGTGTGTGACTGGGTTTCATCATAACTGTTTTCTTACTTTTGGAAGCCATTGATGGAATGAAGAGATTCTTTCAATCCCCAAAAGAGGGAGGAAATATGAAGCCGAAAGAAGTGGGGGAGAATTTGCTCGAGTCAGAATACATTTTTAATTTTCAATGTAGCTTTCTAAGAAATTGATTTCTTCACCACGAATTTACAATCAACTTTTTAAAAAGACTTGACCACTCCAAACATATCCTAAATCTAAATCATTACTTCATTCATAAAATTCAAATGCATTTAATATTTTCAATTCTGTTTAAGATCACATCTGTTGATGAATAATACTGTATGAATAAAACAATGTCATTTTACTTGGATTTTTGCTACTTTATAGAAAGAAATTTCTTTTTTACTCCAAAAACAAACGTCTCTATTAAAGAAATATTGAGGTTCAAACCCTACAGAATTCTATAATCTTGCCATTCAATTTTTCATTGAAATTTTAAGGGAAAACCTTAATATTCCTCCAAATTTTATTGCCATTCAAGAATGATAATTCAAATTATTTGTCTCTAAAAAGGCAATAAAAAAATGGGCTTTTTTGGATCAATTCACAATTAATGGACATTTTAAAGATCACATGATTCGGATCCCATCATCATCCCCAATCCATATCTCAACAGAAGCGTTAAAATTACCCATCAACTGACCTGAAGGAAGCTTCACCCGCCGGATTAACCTGTTTGATTAACCCGACGGATTGACTTACAGATTCATTTGCTTATTTAGCTTCCCTACTAATTGTATCACTTTCCCTTGAGTTAAGGCATTCCTTAGGCCTTGGTTATAGAATTGAATATGACTAATTGTGCGAGTACCTCACAATCTTCTCAGTGATGCACCGTCTTGTACTATATGACTCATATATATATTATATATATATATATATATATTTTTTCTGTATGTATGAGTGGGAAGGAAAGTGAAAGTGGGGATTTCAGAAGAAAAATATCTAAAGAGAACTCTCTGTAGATCTCTCTCTCCCCCTCTCGCTCTTGTTTAGAGGATCATTAGAGATACAAAAATTCATGACTGGACGGGACACATTCATTATCTTCTTTCACCCTCCTTATACAGATCTCTCCGTGGTTGTAGAACTCACAAACGACACCGGATCTTACATCGTAAAAATATTCAATAATATAGTATACGTATGCAAACCAATGAGCTCCAGTACTAATGCATGTAGAGTACACAGCAAATCATTTGTTATAGAAAACAGATTTTGATCGTCTTCTTTTTTTGAATATTCATGTATACACTGTTGATGCAGTCCCCCATGCAAAAATTTTCTCAAAAATGCTGAGGCATGAAGTTCCAAGTGTTCGCGTGGTTGCATCATTAAAAGGGATTAGAAGGCATCGATTAGGATTAGGAGCAGAAGGGCAGCAGCTGCGCTCGCAATGATAGGAAGATGACTTCCATGCATGGAAGCCATTCATTTCCCCCCACCTTCTGATGTCGTCACCCTCCACTTTCATTAATTCCAAAAGCAGGCCCTAAGCCCTCTCTCTCTCTCTCTCTCTCTCTCTCTTCATGAGAAGCAGCTGCTGCAGCTAATGAGTTTCAGACAGAGGAAATTGATGACTACAATGGTATAAAGAAAGAAAGAAAGCACTCATAAAAGAAGAAAAGAAAAGCAGCACACTGCATAGATCAAACACAGCATATTTATTATAATGTGGAGAGACTTTTCTTGAATTATTTGTCTGAGTATCCACTGCCAAGTGGGAAAACTAAATTATACCAAACAAGCCCAAACTGATCTTATTCATATTCTTCAACAAAGAAGATTGAATTGTACACACTTCTCCTATTACCACTATCGATTTTCTTACAGGAATGTTCAGTAGTAAGAATATAAGGTTATGTTTATCTCCTTCTGTTAAATCGGTAATTAGTAGACAGTGGAAAAAACTTGGACTTTGCAGCTTATCTCCTTCCTCTGTCTAGCTCAATAATTCTGCACAGAAATGTATTCATATTAATATAAATACACATTATCTTTAGCTTGCTAAAACTTGAAAGTAAATATATCTACAAATCCGGGAAACAAAAATTTAAATCAGGCAGCATCATAAGCTTGTTATGATGGAATTGGTCAAATATATGTCAAGTAGTAACACTGCGATTAGGCCCCTAGATAAGATATAGTAATCTCCGATCTGTAATTTTATTGACTTTATTGTGAACCTATAGCACATTGAGAGGTACAATTATTGTAACTTTAAATGAGTTATATTACGCGCATGAAATTAGAAGAGTTGCTTCTACGTACATATCATTTGGAACCATGTTGGAAATTCTGTTTTGACCTTCCTGTCAGAGAGTCATTTTCCATGTCCAAGATGTCGATAAATAACCTGCTCATAATATTGCTATTTGCATTTTTGAATTTGCCAGTATATAACTAATATTCTCAATAATAAATGACAATATATATTAACTTTGGGACCGTGAAACTTACGTATAAATGGCTCGAATTCGTTACAGTTTATCATAACGTACAATACAACTGACTGAATCTCTTTATTGCTTATATGTCGTGTACCAAGCATCCCAGATGTCTCACTTGATATTTGATATACGGATAAATCTGACTGTGAAGACATGTTACCTAAAATATGACTTCTTTGATGACCTTGATCAAAATAATATGAGCAAAAAATTTTCATCTCCTCCGCAGATATGCTTAACAGATCGATCCCGCATAATGTGATTTATTCTTAATTGTATTTTTATTTTATTTAAAAATTTGCAGCACATATATTTTATATTGAATATCGTGGTCATTTAGTGTGAAATAAAATACTACTTCTAATGTATGCATCAAGAAAACATACCTCTCGAAGCGATATATTCATCTGTAGTGCACTGAACCCCCAGTATAACCTCATAACATAAATGTATAGGCAAATGCTCCACAGAGTTGAAGAAACCAAGAGAAAATATCCTCTCAAGCTTAAAAAATAATAGGGAAAAACTCGCATTGAGATGTCTGAATGAGTTAGCATTTAGTGTCCCCGACACAACTCTTTGACGAATATGTTGACTTCGATCAAGGGATCAAGCACTAGCTTTGACAACCCATGAAATGCAATGCGTAATAAGCACTGCAGAAATATATGACAGTCTTAACTCTTCATGCCAAATACCTTATCCGTTTCCAAGTCAAAACAACGACTCAAATTTGAGATAGCCCTGGGAAACTTCAGAGAATACACCCACTCATAAATTATCCTACGTTGATCTGGTGTAAAATAGTATGCAACTTTTGGCTTTATTAATTTACCTCTATTTGTCTCCTAAAGTTTTAAGGTCATCATCTTGCAACACTCT